GGAATCATCCTCCTGGGTCTGAACAGCAGTCTAGAATTATTAGTTGTTATTGATCTAAAACAAGCGATTGCATAAAATTGTAATTAATAACGAGAGTGTGGGTGTGGGTGTGGGTATGAGTATTATTTCCATTACAAACCTACACCCACACCTCACACCCAAAGGAGAGATATCCTACCACACACTCATACTATTACTATATTTTATTTGGATGTTAAAGTTAGTCTAAATAGCTAAAATTGAAGAAAAAAATATTTGAAATGCAAGCATACAATGAACGGAGAGGAATATTAAGTTCGTGACGGCTATGTTTGTGGTAACTCTCTTTGAATATATTTGTGGACGAAGTTAATCTGAAGTCATATCATCAATATCAATACCAGCCATGAGGGTGGGAATGTCGATAAGGTTCATAGCCCAATTTATCATATTGTCTGAAGGTTCCCAATCATTTAAATCTAACGATTCAATTCGAGTTGTCGTTGGAACCGTCAGTTCTATCTCTATAAAATTGTTATTTTTAGTTCGATCAATTTTACTTATCATGAACATAGAAAATGGTAAAATGAGCACTTCTTCTTCGCCGCGAATAGCACCCATATCTCCTATATCAATAAAAAATTTCATATCGGGATCGTCAAGAACATATGTGCATATCGCTGGTATTTGTCCAGGTCCAGACGATACGACAAAACATTCAGCGACAGAACGGTCTTTTGATGTCGATGCAAACGTTTTTTGTATAATAAACGAGTTGACATGATACACCAGCAAATCTTGCTCGGTAACATTTATACCACGATAGGTTTTACCAAAGTAGTATTTGAGGGACGACTCTGGAGAGATGCAAGCGTGTCGTATGGTACTAGCATAGCATAGTGCCCAGTTTAGTGTTGCTTTCTTATGAGTACCGTTCTTCAACGCGTTAAACATAGAAATTAGTTCGGTGAGATCTGTCGACGGAAGCTGATTTGCCAGTGTCCGATTAAGCACTCGATAAAAAATGCTCTCAACAGTATATGCGTGAAGTAAATGTGTAACGTCACCTGTACAACGAGCGAGTTCCAACGCTGTATTTACTTTATCCATACCAGAGCCATTTTTCAGTTCGTCTGCCATCTGAATCTTGTCGACAGTGTCACTGATTGAGACAATTGGCAAATTCATTGTTATTGAACTTACATTGAATAATCCATCTACACCGGCTGCAACCCATTCAGCCTGAGGCGCACCAGTTACAAAGTGGTCACATAATACTGTTATTGAACTTGACTCATAGTTTGCCGCCATCTAGAACGGTCAAATTTATATTTAGGGGCGCACATTTAACTTAATATTAAGTAATAAGTAAAAAAATTAATATAGTCACCTTGGAATTATATCATCATAATTCCTATTATTAATAAAAATGGACTGTTTTGTTGTATAATAACTTGCACTTTCGATAGAAATGGTATTATACTGGCTTAATATGAGCGATTGTGTACAATCGTGAGACGTAGTTAAAAGAAACGGTATTATATTTACTCATTTTTTTCTCTCTCTCTGACTGAATGGCTTTATGTGACGAACATGAAAGTGTTTAATTGTCTGTTCTCTTTTCTTCGCGCCCTTGCGATCATGAAGCATTTACTATCAATGCTGGCAACAACAAAGTACGAAACACTCGTCGATAAACAAGACCACTTTGTTGTATTCTTATGAAATGGATTAAAACGTAAAAACAACCTAGTCAGAGAAATCAAAAACAATTATACATAAAAATGTGCGCCTTGTACCATTTTATTTTCGTTAAATTTTAACGCGTTGTTTTTCATTTTTTTCACTGCTTCAGATTTGATTGCAAGTATGAATCTATAATATTCTATAACATTATTTTACTTTATTTTGGTTCATCTATTCTTGAGAATGTAGGATGTAGGTGAGGTTGATAAATAACTCTTCACTCACATTCACACTCACACCCTCAAACTCAGATGTCTTCTCATCAGCGAGGGGGCTTGCAATACTTGTACTTATGACTTACACTCACTTTTATATGTGAGTTCTATAAAAGTCAAATACTTCGATATTTTTTCAAGTAGAACAACTCCGATAATCAAATACTTTTCTTTTTTCCTAATATCCAGAAATCAAACACAAATTTACGACAAATAATTAACTGCTACATTATGAAAATAATAAAAATAATAAATTATAATAAACGATAAATATCATTCGTGGTATGAGTATGGGTGTATGACGACTAAATTGAGAAAAAAATCGCTAATGTTAACTTCGCCGATGTCAAATTATTATTACTATCACTATATTTCATGGTAGTTTCGTTCTTTTATTTATGGATGATTACAGCACTATACGTTAAAATTGCTTTCATATCTAAAACGAGAATTTCTTTTTTCTTTCTCGATCGAAACTCAGATTTAGAATGTAAGAAGTTCATTAAGATTAATACATGTGCTAATCTTAATGTACAAGTACCACAATGAATAAACTTATCACAAAACTCTTATCAGTCATAAATATATCATTTCGTTTTGTTTGATTGTTATTCAATGATATACTACTAGTATAATATCATAAATTCTCTATGATCAGTTCAAAGCTGTTTTATAGGAAATGAAATATTTGCTCAATACTTATCACAGAAATACATATTATTTTAAATTTGAGTAAGAATAAATATCAAACTTAGTTAGTTATCGTTTTCAAGAGATGTCGTTAATAACAATATATATTTCTCTCTCTCTCAAAAACTCATACATAGTTTATCTTCTTTAAAATTCTAACTAGAAAACTTATCTTTAATCGTTGAACTATAATAATGTATTTTGTTGATTTATATGTTAACATAAAGGTTTATTTCTTATTGCTCATTGGTTCAGTTAACTAATCTACTTGACGTCTTCCTTACATATTTATTTTATTTTTAGTATGTTTGTATTGAACATACGACAATGACAACAACATCTAATCGAAGTTCTGGATGTTTTCGTGGTTATACAAATGAACAGAAAACTTTACGTGCAAAACTTGCTCAATTACTTAAATGGACACGTGATTTAAAAACTAATATTATGAAACAATCATGTAAAGTATTACAAATAATGAATAATAATAAAAGCAATATTAATCGTCAATTAATTGATCAAATTCATGATGATTTAGATGATTATAAACGAAAATTAGATCGTGAACTTGGTCGTATACATGATATATGTGATGCATTAGCAAACAATCCAATAACAGAAGGTAATGAAGAGAATCTTCGAGATGAAATTCTTGAAGCATTACGTCGTTCACCAACATATTCATCACTTGAACAACATATTGATGGTGATGAAAAACGAACACGTATTCGTGTAAAACCACGTGAAAGAATTCATCCAGGTCAAAATCGTCCAGCACCAACATCATATTTATCATCCGATACAATTAAACGTAAAGCATCACAACCAGTAGCTTTAAAATTATTGGATACTACAGGTGCGTCTAACACCAAACGAAGAGCACAAGTCGATGCATTTAAACGTTCAAGATCATTTACTAATGTTGAACATACTGAAACACAATTAGGTATGGATTATATTGAAGAAGATGAAAGTGATCTTTCATGGAAACCATTTGGACCAAAACGATCCATTTCACAACTTAGTCTATCATCAACTAATAATGAACAATCAAATGATAAACAGTCATCAACAAAGTAAATAGTTACTTTTTTAATAACGAAATTTTTATTTTGAAATTTTAGTGTACTTAAAACAAGTCAATCATTACCAGCAATATCTACACAAAAATCGGCATGTAATGATAATGATTCATCAGATGAAGAATTTGATGTTGCATGGCAACGACGTGCTATACAGAAAGCTCGAAAAGAAGCAGCTGCTGCACCCCCACCACCACCGCCACCACCTACTGAAACACCAGCAAAACGAACTGTTCGTTTTTCACCTTCAACAAATGAACAGGTTGAACTTATTGAAATTGATCTTGACGAAGCATTGCAAGATGATTTACAACAGATAAGAGATCAAAATAATAATAATAGACAACAAACTGAAGTTGTTAGTATTGATGATGATGATGATGATGATGATGACGAACCAATAATTACAACAGCAGATACGCAAAGTCAAATAACAACAGTAAATAATCAGAATGATGGTAGTCAAATAATTAATGACAGTGATGATGAAATAATTGCTTTAAGTGATGATGAGATTCCAGCCAAATCAAGTATTTCAAGAAGAAAAAATACTTGGGTTGAATCAGAAATTCAAATAACAAGTGCAAATTCTCAATCTCAATCATTACATAATCCATATCGTATTGGTATTACTGATCCAAGTATACGATCAGTATTTTTACCGCCACCAAATTCTCAGACAATGTTACCGTCAACTGGTGGAAATAGAAGAGCACCAAGTAGTAATCGTAGAACAGCATCAACAAAACGAACAACCAGTAAAAAAAAATAATAATAATAATAATAATTAGTATTTTCTATTCAGATATTTTAGTAGTTATCTTCTTTGTAATAGATGTGATTTTCTCAGGTTAACTAACTTCTTTTTGATTCGCGATAAATATAACCGTTTTTTGAGTTAGTTTACAGTGATTTTTAAATTTATGAAATAAATTGTAACAGTTTTATCCTTAATATACAAACAGCTAATTTGTTTTTTTCAATCAATTTATATATTCATGAATCTCAATTATGGCATACATCAAATAAAAAGAAATGGGAACCATTTTTTTGTTTTTGTTTTGTCTTATCGATAATATTCATCCATACTGCTCCTTTAAGCATGAAATTTAATGGAGTATTTCTAATATTACTATCTTTTTCAATTATCTATTAAGAAAAAAGGTATCTACTTTCTTTTTGTCGTAAACTATTGTAAAAACGACATGGAATGAATGATTCAAAACCAGATTAGTTCAGTTATTATCAATATTTGCGTTAATCTATTAGTTGCGAATATCAAAAATGGATATTGATGTCCTATTTCGTATTATTAAATTTTGGATCTATCTTATTCTTCTTATTCCATCAATAATTTGTTCGTTATTTGTTCTCTGTTATCTTTTATTCGATCGAAACTTACATCGTGCACTTCATAATCATGTAATTATTATTCTTCTCTTGATTTGTTTAATTTGTCAAGTAACTATTTATCCATGGATGCTCTATTTCTATAATAATCATATTTATTGGCCAAGATCATATATTTTTTGTAGTATTTGGGGGTTTATTGATTGGGGACTATATATAACACAAATAATACTCTTTGCATGGGCTTCAATTGAAAGACATATTCTTATTTTTCATGATCGATGGTTATCAACTAGAAGAAAACGTATTTTTATACATTATCTTCCTCCTATTTTACTTCTACTCTATTGTTTTATCTTTTATGGAATTGTTTATTTTTTTCCATTTTGTGTAAATTCCATTAATTATTATGCTGCTGCATGTATCGTTTGTTGTACATATAATAACAATGTATTTAGTTTATGGGAAACTATAGTTAATCAATTACTACCTCATTTAATTATTATAATATTTAGTATTGCCTTAATTTTACGTGCACTTTGGCAAAATCATCGTGTACATCAACGAATTCAATGGAGAAAACATCGAAAGATGACTATTCAATTATTATCCATATCATTTCTTTATCTTACATTTTCTTTTCCAAATACGTTCATGATTTTCTTATATTTATGTGGTTTACCATCTAATACAAGTGGTGATGTAAAGAAATATGCAGAATTTTTCAGTTATTTGATTATATTATTTTTTCCTTTTGTTTGTATTTTACCATTATCTAAACTTCGAAACAAAATTAGAAAAATTTTATTATGTCGAAAACGACGACAAACAAGATTTATTCGTCCTGAAATATTAACTGCAAGACAAACAAAATGATCGTATTTTTAGAGAATAATCTTCACAAGGAGAAAATCACGTACTCCGGTACTCCTTTGAATTTTTTGTTTTCCAATGCTACAAAATTATACTTCTTATTCTGTTGTCATATTTCATGTTTTTGTTCAAAATTAATTATTTTATTCTAGCAAAAGCTATACATTTGATTAAAAGATACTTCATATGACAATTTATCTAATAGCATTTTTTTCTTATTCAAGCATAAATAAAAAATAATCAATAGAAATAAGATCTCACGCAATACGTAAACTTCAATTTTCTTTTATATAAATAATAGTAAGATTTATCATAGTTTTCTAAAATGCTTGATACAGATAATAGTACCACCATCAATGATTCATCTATTGTTTCAGTTGGATTAATTTTACCTAGTGTTAAATTTTGGTTTTATCTTATTTTTCTTATTCCATCAATTATTTGTACATTATTTCTTCTTTATTATCTTCTTTCAAATCGAAATCTCCGTCGTTCTCTTAATAATCATGTTATTATTGTTTTACTTTTTACTGTTCTTTTCTGCGAAGTAACGATGTACCCATGGATGCTTTATTATTTTTGTAAAGGTGATAGTTGGCAAAGATCATATATTTTTTGTAGTATTTGGGCATTCATTGATTGGGCATTCTATGCGATGCAAATAATGCTTTTTGCATGGGCATCAATTGAAAGACATATTCTTATTTTTCATCATACTTGGTTATCAACAAAAAGAAAACGTTTTTTTCTACATTATCTTCCTATAGCTTTAATTCTTATTTATTATCATATATTCTATTTTATTGTTTATTTCTTTTCACCACGTGAAAATGATTTTATTGATTCTGGTATGATTTGTTTTTCTGTTGGTTTATATGATTTAATGGTATTTCGAGTTTTTGAAACAATGATTAATAATATTTTACCAGATTTATCAATAGTTATATTTAGTATGAGTTTAATTATACGTATTATTCGACAAAAACAACGTATGAATCAACCTATTCGATGGCGACAATGTCGAAAAATGACAATTCAATTATTATCAATATCATTTCTTTATCTTATTGTTACTGGTCCTAATGCATTTATGGTTTTCTTGTATATGTGTGGATTACCAAACGATGTCGGTGTCAATTTTACAGAATATGCTGTTTTTCTTACGTATTTCATCGTACTTCTTTTTCCATTTGTTTCTATGCTTTCCATGCCTGAACTACTAACTAAAATCAAAGCAACAATTCAATTAATACGCCCGGCAAGATTACTTAGTCCTGAAATAATAAATATGGAAAATATGAGAAAAAATTAAGATACTATAATTTCTACTATGTATTTTTCGTAAATAAACTTATATTTAATATAAAATTTATAAACAATATACGACACACTAAAATATCAACTAATATATAAAACGATTCTTTTTTTTTATTGAAATCGTTCATTTTCTCTTTCTCTACCTATTTTAACTGTTAAATTTGGTAGTAAAGATGCAAGTTCTTGAATTAAATCAATAAAATCTCTATGTACAATAATTCCACGTAAATCAATAATTTGTAATTGTGATGTTGGATTTCTCATTAATGGACGTAATATAGCATAACAACCGCTTGATTCCAATGGATTACCATTTAATGTTAATATTTTTAATGTTTCATTTTTTTGCTAAACCTTGCCCAATATATACGGCACATTCTGTATTAAATTGATTATTATCTAATCGAAGTTTTTCTAATGTCGAATTTTTTTTTAATAATTCTAATATTATTTTAGCTGTATGTAATCCAGCACCATTCCATGATAAATCAAGTATTGTTAAACGTGCATTTAACATAAGTGGTTTTAATAATAAGGCACATGTTTTTGAACGTAAATGATTCCAAGCAATATAAAATTCTTCAATTGTTTGATTTTCACCTAATGATTGTCCAAAAAGACGACCAGTTTTATCATTTTCAAATAAATTTTTATTTAAATTTATATATTTAATCGTATCATTTTCCGAAAATACATCTGCAAAAAATTGTGCACAATTATCATTGAAACGATTACCATCAAGATTAAGTATTCGTATTGTTCGATTTGAACGAAGTACTTCACATAAAGCTTTACAACCTATGAACGAAAAAAAATAGTAACAATAAAATTTCTATACACAACATTTCTTTATTTGATTATTAAAATTACTTAAAAAATAAATATATTTTTTTCTATCTTTATATAAACAATATTCAGTTCGATGAAGTATATAAATAATATAAAATTCAAATAAATGTTAAGAACATTTCTATTTCTTAACAATAATAATATTATACAAAAAAAATTGTTTGAACTGAATAAATATGAAATTTATCTTTTCTGTTCTCTTTTGAAAATATATTATATATGCATTCGATTATATTTGATTGTAAGAAACCATAGAAATTCTCAAATGTGTATATATTTATATTGCAAACTATTGAATCATTTTAAAATGTTCATACCTTGTAAACCAATATCATTATCAGCTAGATTTAATTCAGTTATATATTCATTATCGCGAATTAATTCTGCAATATAAATAGTACCATGTGATCCAAGGCCATTATCTCTAAAATCAAGTTTTGTAATATTTGTATTGATTTTTAAGGATGGTATCATAACTTTAATATTGATTGGTTTTAAACCACAATAACGTATTGTTAAAGTTTTCTTATCAATAGAACGTAAAAAGAATGATGAGGGTATAACACTATGACGATGACATTGATCTAAATAAAGACCTTTACATGTATAATCTTTTATGGGTTCTTCATCTTCCTCAATATCTGTATCATAATTGATAATATTTTCAGGTGAAAGATCTTCATCATCATCGTCGTCATCCTCATCTGATTCTTGAGTAAATGATGTAGTTAATATTGAACTTGAATCAGTACGTGCCTTAGATATTCCAGCTGAACGTGTTGTACTACGAATAAGTCGTTTTGGTTTAACATGAGCAGATAAAATTAATCGAGTTTGATTATCAAGTAGTTCTGGTCGATGGAATAAAGAAGGTGTTATTGTGGGTGGTGGTGACAACGGTTCCATGTATTGTAATGTTTTATTAAATGATTGATACTTCTAACAACAAACGTTCTCACTTTCTCGTTTACTTTTCTTATGTATACAGACGTAGATTTATATATATGTGTGACTTTAAAGAAGAAAAAGAGGAAAAAAACTAAAGAGAAACGGATATAAAAATTTTACTGACGGAGAACCAGTTAGGCAGAAATGAAAAGAAGAAAAAAAAATAAAATAAAATGAAATAAACCAGTAAGTAAATTGGAATATAAAGTATTCAAATGTCAACAACATATAAATGAAATCAAATCGAGAATAGATGCGTGTGCATTAAATCGACAATAATAACATATATTTATAGAAGAAAAAGGAAGCAATAGCATGTGAATGATTACTTTTTAACATACAGAATAAATTACACAAAAATTAGATTCATCCATATTTAAAAATGATCTTTCTTTCAAAATTAATCACTATGATTTTTTTTCAGTTGATTGTATTCCGTAATAATAACCTTGGCTTTAAAAATAAACCATCAAAATTTAATTAGCTAATTAAATAAATTTTATTGATTCCATACCTTATCTTTTGCGTGCAAACATTCTCGATATATCCCTTATTTATGCATGTTTGAATTGCAAATTTTTTTTTTGTATCATGATTATTTCCAGCTCCGATAAACTAAGAGTCATCATGTCAAAAGAAAGAAATATTAGATATTTATGTATCTTTTGCGAAGAAGAAGATTTAGTGTGAAATTTTAGCTTTATCGTCAACACTACTCGGAATGTTCAGGTATATAAAATCATAAATGTATATACTTTATGACACTTATGAATAATATAAGTAATTACATAATTGTAACAAATCAATTTCATAAATCATAGTATACATTTGCTTTCTATTTGTGTTATATATATATATAGTTCTGATTGGATAGATTGATTAAAAGAGACTATGAAGTTTTTCTTTTTTTTTTTTTGTCAATGCCCTAAAGAACAGAAAAAAAGAACGTCATGTTATGATAAGCTTTTTCCTATGTTCTCTCCCTCTGTTTTTGCACTTGTCATGTATCAATGTAAATGGTAATATACCCTTGATAACATTTATTGATCAATTTTAAGAAAAAACGTTTTTTTTGATATTTTCAATATTATGTTATTTATTTTTTCTAATAAATCATCATTTAATATATGAAAAGAGATGTTAGAATGAAAGTATCAATAAACAATATACAATAAAAAATAAAAAATCTCTATGTGAGGTTTTCTTGTTTTACTAAAAATAACATAGAAAAACAAAGGAAATATTTAAAAACTTTTTTTTTTATTTCACGTTAGTAGTACTGATGATGTCGGTACCGTCTGTAACTTATATTTGACTTGATTTGGTGTAGTTGAGTGTTGTAAACGTTTAATAATAAATTTTAATGGTTCTTTTTTACTAATGGTTGTTGTTTTCGATGAACATGAAGTCATAGGAATTGACGAAGATTTCGGTGATGGTAATAAAATAATATCAGGTGAAGATGGATATTGATCTGTATTTGAAAATTCTCCAATAATTTGAATATCATCCGATGATTGCATTTTTTCATCATCATCGTCGTCATCATCATCATCTTCTATGTCCCATAGATTATCATCATCATCAATATTAAATGATGGCTATAAAGAAAATATTAAAATAGGTTTGTTTTGAGGTTAAATAAGCAATAAAAACGAACATTTATATATATGTATTTGATATTATATAATAAAGAAAAGAAATTACTTATTTTATCTTGTTCAAATATGTATGATATGAATTCAAGCGGAATACAAAATTTTTTTAAAATCAGTCAATAGAATAGAAGCGAAAAAAAATTATGTTCAACAACCATATAGAACTTCATTTTTTACTTAATTAAGTTATTTTGAAAAGTACTTACCCTAGTTGCTTCGACATAACGTCTTTTAACAATATGAATATCCATATTTGTTGTATCAGGATAAATATCAATAAGTAATTGTTTAAGTTCATCTAAACCTGTTTCAATATCATTTAATTTATTTTTCATATCATTTATATCATCAATATGTATTTGTTTTTGTTTAGAAACTTTTTTAAATTGTTTTAATAAATTATCTTTTAATTGTAAATCTTTTTTTGTTTTATATGTATCAAATTCCATATGTGCTTGTAAACATAAAATTTGTAATTGTTGTTTTTTATCTGAATAGATTTTATTTAATAGATTTGATCGTTCATTATACCAATTATCTAATTTTTCAAATAATTCAGCACGATAATTTGTTGGATCAAATATTAAATTATCAAGATTTATACGAACATGATTTATATTATCAAATAAATGAAATAAATCTGACCGAAGTATATCTTGATGAAAATTTAAATGTTTAAGACATACTTGTAATTGACAATGAGGACAAAGAACATAATCATTTGATGTACATTGTATACCATCAATATCTGAATGTTGACAAAGATTTCGTGCTGAAGCCATTGATATTAACAATTATATATAATCATGAAGAATAAGGAATTGTCATTAAATATGAAACAAAGTTAGACCAATAATGCAAGGAAGTATAATATAAGGAATGATGAAAAGAGAAACGAAAGAAGGAAAAATACGAGAGAGAGAGAGAAGAAAAAGAACATAAAAAAAGAAGGAGAAAAAGAACGAGAGAGGGAGACATATATACGCAGATACATTAAAGTATTAAAAGGAAAGAATAAGAACAAAGAATGTCTTTATAAATATTATATATTTAGACGAATTTTTAATAGATAAACTATTCGAATGAGATACTGGAATATTTTATTTTTGTCTTTAAATTGTAATTAAATATGTTATAGAACTTATATAGTTTTAATAATTAATTAATGAAGTATGATTTAATTATTAGTTTCTATTAGATATAATACAATGAGAAAAAACTGGGTATTTTCTATTTTAAACAGTATCTAAAAGTTTTTATCGGATGTAGATGGCGTCATAAGTCTTAATAGATGAACAATCATAATCGTATTTTATGAAACAACTAGTTTTCCGTTATATGTACGAATCTAGAATTTTTGGGGAATGGGTGCGAATTTACCCGAAAGCCACCTTATCATCCACTGATTTTCGCTGAAAAAATTTTGAGACAGGGTGCGCTCCCACCCTCTCGAAACCCGCCACTGGTAAGAACAAAAAAATGATTTCGAACTCTGGGTTTTTTTTATAGCGATGAATCACTTGATTTATTTATAGCAAATAAAGATTTGATTTTTTAACTTAAGATAAATTATCGTTTGATAGGTTTATTTACAATACATTTCATAAGACTAATAATTAAATTTCTTATATAATGATAATCAATTCAAGTTAGTTTCGATGTCAATGAATAAAAGAAATCCAAATGTCATTATTTTGATTGAATATAAATGTGTCATCAAAAATCAATTTGTTAAATGATAGAAACAATTTAGTATATAAAGAAGATAACTAAAACAACACATGGCTTCCTAATTGCATCTAAAAAAGCCGGCGACTTTTCTTTTCTTTCATTTCTATAGTGCACTTACATATTTACGATCAACATTATACAAAAAAAAACAGTATAATTATATTATTCAATACAAAAAAAAATTTATCGAGAGAAAAACTTATTCATTTACATGATTATAATATTTTTTTTGATTTCAAAACGATTCTTCTTTTTTTTAACACAAGAAATTTATTATAATCTATTAACGAGAGAAGAATATATCAAGAGTATTGAAGTATTCATCGATTCTGAGTTTGATCGTTCCGCTTCTATAGGATAGGTCTATATATAGAAAATAATACATTTTCTTTTCACTTGGTGCCATTGAAGACAAGAATAGAATACGAGATAAAAGACATGACAAATGTTTGTTTGATCGTTTAGATATTGAAATAAAAATAATGAGATTTAATTTTGATACAAAAAATGATTTAAATAGTAACTAATTATTAGATCGTTATACATCGAGGATTACAGTAAATTATAAACTACACAGCATTCATAATTGATTATGCTGATATCCAGAGCAGTATTGTTTTGTTTATGATTTTCTATTTGAATTTTGTTTCTAATTGGATCATAAATTAATAAAAATAAATACGCTTTTACTGTATGACTAATTTGTCGTATTATTAATTCTCATGTGTATTAAGTTTTGTTTTTGTCTGTAATGCATGATGATTATTGTGTAAATGAGTAAACATCTCAAAAACAGAAATAATCTGTAGCTAGTTTCGATTTATTTACATTTCATATCAACTGTCGTTATTTTCTGATATGATATTATACATCAAAGAAACAATTGGAAAAAATCTATAGATTTTTGTTTCAATTTGATCTTATTATTAGATTTGTTATATGTTGACGTTTAGATGAATATATTTATAAATTAAAATAGATCGCTGTATCGATTTATGATAATAGAGTAACTGTTGACATTTTATAAGAAAAGAAAGTAGAAACGTAAAGAACAAGAGATAGCTATAGTACATAGAATACGTATGGATAATATCTATGGCAGCACGTCTTGCGTACGTTACGTCGTAGTTAATACATAGTTATTGTTTATCGAGTTATGTCCATACGATAGATGACCTTCACAGCTAATTTCTGTTTGGTATTGCCTTTGACTATTATATATTGAATAGAAACAGATTAGAGAATTGCTGGAATAATAGTATTTAATTGTGTACTGGTTCAAAACTAAACAAATTGCTTGATATATCTCGAATTCTAATGACGGTTTATTATTTAAAACGATTGTTTATAATAAATGATGTGTTTTATAAAACTTGAGGATACCGATAAATACCAGAAATATACAAAATAATCATATACTACTTTGTTTTTTTTCTCTTCTAAAAACACAGAAGAATAAAAAATTAATTCTTATGCTTTTCTTTCGATGCAACTATTGTCATATTCTAATGATGAATCAGTGTGTTTGACGAGAACAGGATTAATATTTTCATATTTGCTCGTAAGTGATAAATTAATGTATTGTTTTTCAAAATGTCTGATAAACTATCAAAATAGCACATTTGTTCTTCTAAATATTTCGATTTATATTTTAGACTATTTACAATTGATCTTATTATAGAGTTGCATAGATTTATCAGCTGGGACAAATTTTCATAATAAACTTTGATTTGTTATTTATATTGAAAATATATAAACAAAAATGATGAATTTTACAAGAAATCAAACTGTTTATATATTATTGCATTTACACGATATAAAATTATTATTTAGGCAATTTCTAATCATAAATTTTTGTATTCATTTGTTAAATATCAAGAGAGAAACTCAAGATAAATATATTTACTTCATGTAAATACTTATTTTAACTATTAATCAAAATAAATGATTTATATGTATTCTCCAATATCAATTTTGTTTACTGTAAAAGTCGATTAATTCCACCCTTATCTTTAAAAAAAAAAAGTCCTTCATCGTTTTTCTTTAATTGTAATCATTATATATATTCTCATCATTTATTTGAATTCTTTACTGCAATATATATGTATTTTATGACAGATCAAAAAAATAAGGAACTAGTTAAAATATATTGTTCATATTTAAGCACATGCAAGTTCCGATTGGCCAATACCACCTGAACATGAACTAGCATCCCATGAATATTTCACTTTGCTACCTTTAGTAACTTTTCCACAGCCAGTTGTTGCATAGTTTTGAACTGCTGAGGCACATGCTTGTTCACAATTTACCATAGCAGCATCATTACATGAACAAAGTTTGCAAGATGATATATCCCATGAATGAAATGGAAAATGAACCGTATTTGAAACAGCTTTGCATTTACAACTGTAGGAAAATATATTTCATATATATACATAAATTTAATATTTAAAATTTGACTAACCTTCGACTGAATATATTAGCATTGGTACCTACAATGAGAGCAACTACGACGAGAAGAATAAGTTTCATGATGGGGTTTGATAACAGAAGTAAAAATCAAATATCGTTATGTATATCGTTAATGTTGTTCGTATTTATATATACTTCTTTCGGACTGATTCACGGTTATTCGTATTTTTTTCTCATTTTTATGGTCTTGTAGACAATGTATACATATTTTTATACAAAATCTATGTATTCAAGTATGAATAAGAACGATGCCAAATCGTAAAAAGAACGATTGTTGACAATTGTGATTAATAAATGAAAAGTTCCAAAAGAGAATGAATATACATAAGCTTAGTTTACTCATATTTCAAGGGCAATATAAGAGAAAATAAGAAAATGAGTTGATATATACACAGGTATTATATTTTATTCTTTTTGTATATCAATACTGGATACTATTCATACCATATGAAGTCTGTTATTAATATACTTAATGCCCTGAAAATGAAAAATAAAAGGTTTCATATATACTTATGTATATACCCTAACTAAAAAGAAATCTTTCTAAAACTTGCACATCAATAAATAACATGAATATTATGTGTAAATACAAAAGAATCAAGTAGATTTTTCTATTTATTAGTTGATAATCAATAATACATAAACTATTATCGGAATTTTGAAAGTAGATTAATGCGGAAAATCCTTATAAGCTTTTATTATTCAAAAAAGGAGAGAAGATGACGTACATCTATAGAAAAAGCAAATATTTTTCATGCTAATTTTAACGGAAGGAACGTAAGTAAAATTAACAGACCTTCCAAGAAAACAATTTTTTCTTACAGGACTAAATAAAGAAAAAGTTTATAATTTTGCTTTTTTCATAAGTACACGTCCCCCGGTCGTCCATTTTGAATGGTAAAAACTGAAGGTCTTTAATTGTCTACGATCAAAACTATCCCTATAAGTCTTTTATAGAAAATATTAATCAGGTTATGAAAAAAAAAATAAGTTTAAATCTGTACTGCTAATATTAACAAAAATCCAAATAGTATTAAAAGAATATGATACACAGTATTTTTTCTTCTACAAGGACACACATATATATATAGGATAATAATCATGAATTTTGAGAAAGTGAATCTCATATCTCAAGAGGTTTCACTTCACACGTTAGATAAAATCTGAATGATAATGTAATGGAATTAACAGATATACAAGTTCATATAAAATCACAACAGCTAATTATTTTTTAAGTATCCACTTCATACAAGAAAATAAATATTAATTTATTATATTCTCAGACTTTTATTCTATATGTAAAAATATTCCATTTAATTTTATAGAAGTAATAATAATTATGAAAAAGAAACAATCACAAAGAAAAAAAAAATGCCAGTACATCAAAAAACTTCGAAGTCTTTGTTTTCAGTTTTCAAAGGAATTTTGTCCATAGATTATTTTCAATAAGTTGAACTGTGTATATTTTTCCATATTATTGATTAATGGAAACTAAAATTTCAAATTAACTATCACATGATAAGACTTCATGTATTTTATAATTCATAAGGTTGAATATTTACACGAGAAAGTCATTGTTATATGCATACATATTTAAATATTTATGGATAGATTTGTCAAAATGATTGAATAATTTATGATTGAAAAAAACAGTATTATTTAAATAAGAAAACTACTTTTTTTTCTTCTTGCTGGAAATTGTTATTATAACTGCATATCATTAAAATGTCCGATGAATAAGAAAAGAAAAGGCAAATAAAAAGCACTTAATCTGATGGACGGCGATAATCGAAGTAACAGAACCTACAGCAGAAGAAAAATTCATGTTTAATTTATTTATCTAGAAAATAAATTACTTGAGATATAATTTCCATTTAATTCAGATAGATTCGATGGTGAGTGTCGTGTAACATTAACCGGTGAGGAACGAAATAATGTATATGAATAGTCTTTTTTCTCATTTTTTATTATTGATAATTGATCATTATCAATAAATGTCAATGATGAACACTTTGTATGATTATTTACAAATTGTGTTTGTTGATGATTTAATATTCTACATTGAATTTGAAATGGTATTGGTTCTCGTAGAATATTATAAAGATAAAACGAATAATGAAATTTCGATAAAGAATTTATTTCGGATGATAAATGAATCACAGTTGGATCAGCTGAACAACTAAACAGAAGAAAAAAAACAATAAATTTACTTTTTTTTTCAATATTATTTTTATTTACTCTTGATAAATTAATCGATGTGTTTTAAAATAATTCGTATAAGGATGAAGAGCTATTAAATCACATGAATGAATTGAAAATGTTGATGATAATAATGATATATCATCAAATGATACATAGATAAGAGATAAAAGTGAAACAGAGCATATTTGTGGACAAGTATATGTTCGATTATTTGAAATCCATCGTAATGAAATTCTTAAGAGAAAAATATAATTTTTATTAATGACTTTTTGTTTTCCTCTTCGTCTACCTATAAGTTGTCGAAGTAAGTTGTTCATCATTATATATTGGTGAAGTTAAATGGTGATGAGTGGCACTTAGTGATGGAGTACTTCTTGTCGATGATGCAGTTGTTGATATTCTCGTTGTTGTTGATGTCCAATGAGCTAAACGTATTTGATATATATCACTTGGACAAAGAAAAAATCGTCCATATTGTCGAGCTTCATTTGTATCTTTATCTACACCTTCCCAACGAAGTTTACCAACAATTGAACCATCAGTTAATATCTAAATGTAATAGAAATGAGTTTGATTAATCAAAAAAATGGATTTTCCCTACAGACATCGCTTCTGTTTTTATCCGCATGGATTGTAATATGTTAATCAGAAATGAAGAAAAAAAAAGAAGATGTTTATAAAAATCTTTTAGTTACTGGAAATGCGGATCCACAAATCTATTTTTATTAAAAACTCATTTTTAAATCTAAGATTTTGGAAACTTTTATTCTATTCTTTTTTTTCTGAATAAAAATAAATAATTTATTACCAATGAGCAATTATCTACATGTGTAACAAACTGTGCATGTGTTTCATTTGACCATAGAGGTTTACAGTGACTATCACCAAGTAAAACATAATTTGGATCGATACCATTCAATGTAATTGTTATATTTAATTGATCACCTGGACATGATATTGTTTGTAGTCTCACAGCTAAAATAAATGACTGAAAAAATTTCTTTTCTTTAATGTCATATCAACCTTTTGTATCTTTTCGACAATCAATTTCATAATAATCAACAAATGAATTAGTTACAATCGATGATGGTTCATCAGATAATGAGATATTAGCACGTACACATAATCCAGTTCGTACCGCATACCAATGTTCAAATGAACGACATTTTTCAGGTTTTAGTTTTAAACAACGATCTAAACAATCTAATTCTGATATCCAACGATCGTTAAGCTCATTATAACCATTTAAAGAAGTATGCATACGTTTTTCATAAAAACAATCTTGAGAAGAAAAAAAAAAGAATAATAATATATATTATAAGAACGGGAAGAAAATATTTTTCTATTTTTATTTACCTTCAATATGATTTAATGTTGAGGAAAATATCATGTATACGGATTTTAATCGGATAATAATAAATATGAGCATCACCAATAGGCGGCGGCTCATGATAAATAAACATGTTTATCATAGAATAGTTTCATCTGACATTAGCAACAACATACTATAGTAGTTGTTGTTATTGATATATTACCCATAGAAAAAAAAGCAATCTACAAAAAAATAGTGAAGAAAAAAAAAATCGACTGTTTAAATAAGTGTAAGTGTAAAATGTGTCTGCACACGTGTTCTTAATTTTTATTTCTATATTTTCTTTCGATCTATCTTAATCTAGATAATGCTAAATCACCTTTTGCCTAATAAATCCTCGTTTGTCTTCTCTTATGAATTTCAATTAGTCCTTGGTCTTATTCTCTTATATTTTTTTCTCTTCAAGTAATCTTGATTTGCCCATGCACAAGGTGCGATTCTCTCCCTTTCTCTTACTCTTAGAAAGAATATACTAATTTCCCTAGTTTGTTGATGAAGCAGAAAATCGACTAGCAATGTTCGTCGATGCAATAGCAATTGTTGAAACCTTGTTCTCTTCTCTCTTTTTTTTATGTAGAAAAGAAGGAAAGGCTTAGAGCCATTTTGACAGGGTGCAGTATTGCATGTACGAGTCAAAAAATCACCGGCACTCGCTCGTTCAGTTTTAATTAAAACAACATCAAATGCAAAAAGAGAGAGAGAGAGAGACAGAGACAGAGAAAGAAGGCGAGGGAGGAAAATAAATTTTGGAGGTAGGAAAAAAAAAAGGAAAAGCTCACAATTTCTCTCTCTCGTTCTTTTTATGCAGAGCAGCAATCGTGTGCAAATCCCCAAGGGCCTAATGAATGTCACACGGTGTTAGATTCGGACTGCGCTTGTCAACGTTAAGCGAATTACAGTTTAAATAAGAAAAAAAGAGACATACATGTATATATATATGATACAATGATGTCTTTGTTACTTACTCAAAGAAAAGGAAAATGATCATATTACATTTCCTTTTTTTTTTGTCTTGACAAGAAAAAGTATGCATCGTATTTATAGATAACATACATTTATCATGATACTATGTTCAAAAGAGAGAGAAGAAGAAAAAAACGATTAGGTCTGAGAAGAAGTGATATGTGTATTTAAATGACAGTTTTATTTTATTAGAAATGATTGAGCAAAAAAAAATGAGCGGAAGTCAAAGGGAATCGATAATAAAATTTGTTTGAGTGGTTCATTTATTCAAACGAAGAAACGTTTGTTATATTCATTAAATTATTCTCTCTATTTGTAGTATTCTTCTGAATATAACATACAGCCATAATTGACACAATGTAATACATTCTTACGAACTCGTATATTAAATACAATAGCTTTAAATATAGAATAGAAAACCAAAGTCTTTCTTTTTCCTTCTTCTTCTCTTTCATATAATATACTATTTTCTTCTATAAAATAGAATTCTTTAACAAAAGCTAATGAGATTTTTTATGTCATAGAGAAAAAACCTTTTTCTTTTTTTTGAAATTGCTTACAATGACTATTTTTTAAACAATACCTACTTTTTATAGGATATAGCTTTTTTGTTATATATATAAACTGGTATTCTCATTAAACAACACAGTATATGTGATTATAAATGTAGACAAAAAACCGGTTCTTCTTCTTCCCTTTTTTTTTCTTGCATCTATCGTTTAATAATAATATATAGCTTCTTTTCTTCTTTCTTTCTCTTTTCTCATAATAACTAAATAGAATGAGAAAGAAATATGATTGAGAAACAGGATGAAAAATATTATGATAGGAATTAGATTATAAAGTAAAGAAATAATATACAGTATAAAATCAACACAAAAAAAAGAAAGAAAATCTTTCGAATCTATTTAATTCTAGAATATTGCATGTTCATTCGATTTCAATCAAAAGTTCTCCTTATGTTAAATGATGAATGATGTTGACTTAAAAAAAAACTATATGAAAGATGCAAAGATGTTAATCGTGGTTGTCGTCCATCTAAAATATGTTTCTTTTATTCTATTGTTAAACATTGCATGTATACAGGTATAGTCACGCAATATATTAGCTTATGCAAAAAAAAACAGAACTGAAACAGACGCATCTACAAAGAATGAAAGGCATTGTTCATACTGACAAAATCAGTTGATTTTACATTAGGAAAACATATAATGTCAAGATTTATATCTTATTAGAGGAAGAAATCTATTAATTCAATGATTTTTATTAGCTAGAGGTAACTCGAAATATATAAATCAGAATTTACAATATATCACAAGAATTCAGTGGAAGAAGAAAACTGTAACTAATTAAATTTTACTTTGAAGATTATTTAACTGGTCTATACATCTTAATATTCTTTTTGTTAAGATTCGATTAAGACTTAATAACTTCCTGTCTACACTAGTTCTATACTTATGTAAATAAAATTATTTATATGTGTTGAAAATATATAAATACTATGTAAAAATCTGTCATAACCTCTTATGTACACGTCAAATAAAGACATGACCATCAAATAATTACTTGTGATTCCTTTTTCATTATTTTATTTACGCTTTATATTTGATTGACAGAGCATTTAGATTATTAATGCCAATGTCTTATTCGACAATGATAATGTATTTAATTATAATAACCAATGAATATATTTTAAACGTTTTTGTTATAAGATAATTAAATAACTGTTATTTAAAACAAATATTAGTCTCCCATGTATTGTAATACAATGTATGATCATTTGTATTACTAGTAATAGGAGAAAAAAACCTATATAGTTGAAAAGTATGTGAGAAAATTTCCGTTAGCTTTTTTTTTCTTCTTACCCTATATAATATATATATCGAACAATGTATTTGTTCAGAAAAAAATTGTTATTCTATATAAAATAAATACTAGTTCTTAAGAAATAAGTAAAATCAATCTCCGGGAAGGCGTTATTCTTCCGGCAACTACAGAAGGTACTTATACTGAGATGATGATAATTGAGAATTTATAAAGAAGGTCTTATTGCTCATCAAGGACAGTTATTTAAAAAATAGTTTTCGATATATATATATATATATATCTATTTTAGAAAAAAACATATCATTTACAATAGTATTAATAAAATAGACAATTCACTCATTGTCAATTCTTCTTTTATTTACGCACTAATGTATTTTATATCTAACTAAATAAGCATGTGGTGAAATAGAATATAGTTTCGACCTTGTATGAAGAAAAAATAAAATAACATACGTCTTATCATTTTGTAGTAGATGATCCTTTTTATTTAACGATTTAGATGATTAAGTTATAAAACTATATCTTAACTAAAAACATTGAACTTAAAAATTAGATAAGTAAGTGTAAAAGATTTAGTTAAAGACATAAGAAATACAAAATAAAAAGATAAAAGAATATTAAAATTTTATTTTACCTTCATTTCAAGGTAAAAAAAAGGAAAAGAATTGATGAAAAGTAAACTACATCGATAAATTTAGATTAAAGCAAACACTAGAAATTACTTCCCATGCTAGTCTATCGATACAACGAGTAAATATAACTTCAAATTATATTCTTCCGACTAGATTGTTTATTATATTATACTAGATTTTCAAATCTAATTTTCATATATAAATACATTCTATTTTTTTTCATTAAAAATATATTATTTACACACCAAAAGAGATATTGTTTTAATTATATTAACAACAAATATTCTTGATCAACTATTCATTTAAACAATCTTACTAGTCGTTAGTTGATCATATCATCGAATGTTTTTCTTCTTATAACTAATTCTTTTTTATATTTTCTTTTAATAAATTACGCAGTATTAAATAATTGATTAATTAGCTGAAGTTATAGGGAAAAAAATGGTAGTACTATTATCGAAAGTGAACTAAATCATTCTTTATAAAGGCATATTTAATAGTATTATATCATTCCTTTTAGTTTAGTTGTTAAATAACGCCCATCTCGAAATATACTTGATTTTTTGTATATGATAAAAATAAATCACGTTATTAAACGAGATAAAAGAAAGGTTATACAATATAACTACGATATTCGCCTTATGACGTACACCTCTTTATCATGTACGAAGAAGCTTGAAATAGCACATGATATGTTACCAAGTAGAAAGAAAAATTATCATTGTCATCTGTGATATATTGCTGTTTTACTGTTAAAGGTTTACACCAATCCAATTATTTCTAATGCAAATATACACTTACAACAGATAAGATAAATTCCTCTTGAAGAAACGAAATTATAGAAGATAATAAAAAATACACTGTCGTATATATGATTGTAATATTTATATTTCATCAATACCAAATAGAACTGAAGTTTAATTATATAAATATGAATAATGATTTTTCTAGTTTTATCCAAAATCTAATGACAGTTAATCAACTTATAATCTTATTATTAAATCAATCATCTTCAAAACAAAATTCTGATTTATGTGAAAGCTAATGAATATTTTATACCAAACATGTTTCTACCAATTTTTAATTTTATCGATGATTACTTGCTTTACATACTCTGTGTATGTATATCTTTAATTCAAAAAAAACCATTTATAGAAGTGAATAGTTAAAAATACAGTAGTTTCTGTTGATTGTGCACGAGAAAATGAATCGTAAAAAGGGGGTGTGATTATTATTGTTGTTTATTCATGCGCGCATATACGATTGACTGAATGTATCGATAATATCTTTTCTATATTGCAAATAACTATTGCAACGTATAATATCATTAATATAGTAAATAACGAATACGTAAACGTATCTGACTCATTTACGTCATGTATTCTCTTTGCTTAAATACAGTGCATTTTATTTATATATACCAATACAACGTCATATTGGGGGTGTGTAGCAATCAAACATACGTATCTGTATACAGAATTGATCAAGAGTAGAAACAAATGTATATTTATTGATGCACATGTGATTAAATATTTTTGTATGCAGTAGAAATGCGTTAGTTTTAACGCAATTTTTTCATGTATTTATTAGCAAGATATTTAATGGTAGTTGAAGAAAAAAGTTTTAGTTAATTTACAACGGTTCTATCATTTTAAAAACTGATAAAAAATGTTTTTTCTATACATTTTTAACTATAAAAAAAAAATGACAACAAAAACGATCAACTAAGTTTTTAATCGTGTATTTTGATTGAGCATTGATTTGAATGGTTTTGCTGCACGTTGATGTTTAGAATGTAATGCTGGTCGTTTTGTAGCATCTTCTTTTAATGGAACATGTATATCCGGAAGATTTTCATAACAACAATGATCCCAGTCTCGACATGCCATATTTGGCCATTCCTCTCCATAGTTATCATCTAAATGTTGTTTTACATCTTTTTTTGATAAGCCACGAAGAGTTAAATGACCAAATTTAACATCAGTTAGACGATCAAAACAACCATATGGTAAAGGCGATTGAGGCCAAGAAGTACGTGCTTCTTCATTTGGATATTCATAAGTTAAACCAGAATCATTTAGTACAAAAACATCAACAAATGGACATGGATGTTGATCAACAGGTCGAGGTTTTGCTAAAGTTGCATGATAAAGACGATAACCTACTAATGGTACCTTCTTCAGTACAAAACCTTGTTTAGCAAATGTATCTGTTAAATTTGCAAGTCGTTGTTCATCTTCCGCTAGAGTAGCTGTATCAGCATCATCATCCCATGGAATGAGACCACCATGTCGTTCAGCACCTAAAGCTGAGCCACCAAATATAGCATATCGAATATTATTTTCCGTCAAAACTTTATGTAAGCATTCTAATGTATCATAAATTAAATCCACAACGTCCTGTGAACTGATTCGAAGTTGAGATAAGTCGTCTCTTGTTTTATCATTCATGATTGTTTTTAGAGTATACTCTTTTTCGTTACGTTTAATAGTACACACTGTTTTATATATAATGACACACCCCTATATCGTATCTCTCCTTTTATACTGTGTAATCTATATACAATTGCGTCGATGATAAAGTCTCCTCCAATAGCAAATAACTCTATTGCTATGTGTTGTTCTACGTCGTTTCGTTTCCAGTCGTACGTCAAGGCTAGTACTACTATGACTCATCGTTCTTTTATCTTAATACTATACAGAATAGAAGACCTCTACCGTATATTTTTCACTGATTGCTCTTCTCATTTGCCAATCCTTGTTTAATATTTATCTCAAGAAAAAATAAATCTCAATCGTTCTATTATAAAAGAGAAAAAAAATGGAGCAACATTATATACGCATATGTACATTTAATTTACGTCGTGGTGATCTTGATCTTAAGACACCAAATGAATGGGAAAAACGAAGACCTATTGTTAAGAAATGTCTAGAAAATATGCAACCAACTATTATTGGAACACAAGAAGGTTATCCATCACAGCTTAATGATGTCCTTGATGATTTAAATGAGTAAAATAGTTCATTAGTACAGACAATCAAGTAATCATTATATTGCTTTATATTGTAGAACTACACAATGTTGGTCATATACAGGAGATGAGATCAATGAACATAAAACTATTAATGCTATATTTTTTCGTAACGATTTGCTTTCACTTATTTCAACAGAAACCTTTTGGTTTAATGAACATCCAACAACACCTGGTGCTGCTTGGGATGCAAAACATTCACGTGGTTGTACTCGTGCTCATTTTCAACATAAGATCACACAACATCCATTTATTATCTACAATCTTCATATTGATTTTCCATCGCAAAATGCTCGACATCATTCAATACCTGTTCTTCTTTCACAAATCAAAGAAAATAATGATCATCCTGATAACGTAATCATTACCGGTGATTTCAATAATTGGCCTGAAGATGTTGAAGGTGATAAGCCAACTGATGAATTGATTGTGTTAGGACAAATAGCATCAGAAATTGTACAGATGAAACAAGCAGGTTTTGTTGATACATATAAACATGGAGAAACACCAACATTTAATGGTTTCCGATCAGCTGGTTATGGTCCGAAAATCGATTTTGTTTGGATATCATCGAATAGTGTTTATCGTGTTGAAGGTGAAACAAAAGTCGACACTTATCATGATAAAGATGGTTTTTTTCCATCCGATCATTTTCCTGTGTATGCTGATATAGTTTCGACTACATAAATTATTTATTTATGTCGAAAATGTACACAAAATAAATGCAAACAGAACATACAGGGATTCAATCAACTATCATGTGTATTTGGTGCTTTTTTTTATTTCAATTTGGATTGTTTTTCTTTTGTTATGAAATATGTACTATATTTTCTATACGGTATATTTTCTTCATAAATGTTTCGAAAAATAAATTTGATAAATCAATAGATTATTATATCGTTGCTTTTTTTTGTTATATGAAAATCCTATTAAACATTATGGTGCTGATATGTTGTACAGAAGAAAACAACTTAATATGTTACATTCTATCTCAGATCTTCTCCGATCTCAAGGGCCTCTATCGTATGAAACCTCCTCATTGCTTCTTCAAAAGAACCAATCTATATGTTCATGTTAAATACGATTTATTTATACTATACTTTTTTTTGTTATCTTGACAGAAAAAATGAATACTATTGCTCGAAGAATGAGCACGGCGATTGTACGTGTCTGTACGTTCAATTTACGTCATGGTAAACTTGATCAAAATACACCAAATGACTGGGAAAAACGAAGACCTATTGTTAAAAAATGTCTAGAAAATATGCAACCTACTATTATTGGAACACAAGAAGGTTATCCACCACAACTTAATGATGTCCTTGATGGTTTGAATGAGTAAAACAGTTCATTAGTACAGACAATCAAGTAATCATTATATTGCTTTATATTGTAGAACTACACAATCTTGGTCATATACAGGAGATGAACTCGAAGATTGGAATACTATTAATGCTATATTCTTTCGTCATGATTTACTTTCACTTATTTCAACGAAAACCTTTTGGTTTAACGAACATCCTTCAAAGCCTAGTGCTGCATGGGGTGCAAAACATCCACGTGGTTGTACTCGTGCTCACTTCCAGCATAAAATCACACAACATCCATTTATTATCTACAATCTTCATATCGATTATCCATCACAAAATGCTCGACATCATTCAATCCCTGTTCTTCTTTCACAAATCAAAGAAAATAATGATCATCCTGATAAAGTAATTATCACTGGTGATTTCAATAATTGGCCAGAAGATGTTGAAGGTGAGAAGCCTATTGATCAATTGATTGTATTAGGACAAAAAGCATCAGAAATTTTACAAATGAAAGAAGCTGGTTTTGTTGATACATACAAACATGGTGAAACGCCGACATTTAATGGTTTTCGATCAGCTGGTTATGGTCCAAAAATCGATTTTATTTGGTTATCATCGAATAGTATTTATCGTGTTGAAGGTGAAACAAAAGTGGATGAATATCATGATAAAGATGGTTTTTTTCCATCCGATCATTTTCCTGTTTATGCTGATTTGGTACATACATCTTAGTCATCATATTCTAATTGAACTTTTATATTTTATGTTAATATTATATATAAGCGTATAGTTTTAGTAAAGATTTTATGTATATTGCTTGAAAAGAAAAGCCTTCCGCATTACACATTATTTTGGTAATGAATTAAACGGATTTTTTTAAAAAACTATGAAATAAATTAGTTTTTGATTAATTCATTTTGTAACTTTTCTGCTACTGGCTAATGCATATGTCTATAACTATTGAGAAACGTACTTTACGACTTGATAGTTATTCAATGTCACTTTGAAAAATATGATATAATCTATCCTTGCAATGAATACCATAATAAAGCTTAGTAGGACATCATATTATTATGATTGTTTTTCAATTAAATTACGCATTTGTTAATACCATCATTAAAAACATAATCTCTCAAATAGGTTTCTTTTTTCTTCGAATTTAATTTCAATAAATAACAAAAATAAAGAATACAAAGACACATATAAATATATAACTCTGAATAACAGAATTACTATTTGTGTATAAACTCACAGAAAAAATCCTAATGGTTGGTAACGCTTTAAGTAAGTATGAATCTCTAAACTTCGATTAATTATATCTTGAATTGTAGCAACACTATGGCTATTTGCTTTTATGGCAATTTTTTGCGCATTTGATGCAGCTGTTATTAAAGATCGATGTCCCATACCCTCACAATTAAAATATAATTATGATTTCAACTGGAAATCAAGATCAAGTGAATGGAATAATACAAACGCACAACCTGCTTCTCTTCAACTTGTACTTTCATGGTAAACTTTTAAAAATAAATTTATTGATTCATTTATATATATATATATTATAACATAGGACACCAACATTTTGTCAATCACTTCCACAATCAGTTCAAGATAAAGAATTTCAATGTCGTAATAGTCAATATTTCGGTATAGTTGTTCATGGTTTATGGCCACAGGCAGCAAAAGCTTCATCAGTTCGAGCTCATCCACGTAATTGTCGAGATGAAAAACAATTAAATTCAACATTCATCAAACGTTTTTATTGTATGATGCCTGATGAAGATCTTATTCAATCTCAATGGGAAAAACATGGTAAATTATATTATAAAATGTTATTTTTAATTATTTCTTCTTTTTAGGTACTTGTTATTATAAAACAGCAACTGAATACTATGAAAACATTGAAAAACTTTATCAATCTTTAAATATTCCTGATATTGCAGCAATGAAAAGTAAAACAAAAACAAATGTTGTCAATGCATTTCTTACACAGAATCCAAAATTATTGTCATCCGCTATACAAGTATCAATGAATGCCGAAAACCAATTGAAAGAAATTAAAATATGCTACACTCTTAATTATCAATATGTTCGTTGTTCTTAAAAAAAAAAGCAATAAATAATTGCAGTAGAAAAAAGAAAGAGAAAAGTCATAAATAAGAACTTTAAACAATGGTATATCATAGGTTCCATTCCTATAAATTTATTTTCTTGTTAAATTAATACGTCATTAAGAAGATGAACTGATTCTGAATTAAAAATATACAGATATATGCACTGAAATTGATTTGAACAAACTTACATGTACCAATTTTTTATTAGTAAAACATCTTTTGCTAGGCATGAAGGAAATTTTATCCTACACAAATTTCAACGTGACAATAATTCTGTTTCAAAATACAATAGATATTCACACATAATGAAACGAATGAGAAACAAACGTTAAGATGAAAGAAAAAGAATGCAAAAGAGCTTGTACGGTATTTATTGCTTAACACAACAACTGGGGACAGGTTTATTGTCAACTAAAAACGAGGTATGCATGTCCAAGATCTGTCCCTCACTTACATCTAATAGATGGTAGCTTTCCGATTTAAGTACGTGTGGATTAATAAGATGATGTTGAACAAGGAGACCAACAGTGGTTAAAGCAAGCTTTTCTTCTACAGCTGGTCCTCGATTTTGCCAGTATTCACCAAAAACACCATGTGAATCGGCTGGATTTAGTTCAGAAACATTGAAACCTGCACGAGCAATAGCAACAGTTAATCGATGCATATCTTGATCAGCAATTAATACAGGTATACAACCAGTATATTTCGATTTAAATTCATTTACGAAACCATCGAAAGTATTAGGAATACGGTTATTTGATTCACCTCTATTAAATATAGGTAAAGCGAATACGATAGCACGAATATTTTTATATGATGGTCCATCTTCTTCGAGTACTCTTCGAATAGCTTTTGCAGAATGCGCTCGTACTTTTCCATCAATTCCAATATCACTACCAGAAAAAACTCCAAGTCCAATACCTGTCTCAACGAGAACTTGTACTCCTTCTTCATCACATGCTCGTAGTCGTATTTTAACCATGCGCGTAAGACTTTCTCGAAGACGTTCTTCACAAAGCTTAGCTGTAGATCCATTGGGTTTTGGTATAAAATCTCTATGATATACTAATGGCATACCTGATTTTTCATCTTCTTTGAAAACGTCTCTCCAATTCGATATAAAATAGAGAATATCATCGACATCATGTTTTCGACCAGCAAAATCAATACCAGTGACTGAAACAAGTTTAATTCGATGAGGCCAATCCTCATCTAGATTACGTGGTATAATTTTGGCATCAAACTCCATTAGGATAGGACATGTTGAAATTCGAACAACAAACTTCATACGAAAAGCTTCTTCACCATCTTCGCTTTGACCTCGTAAAGCTTTTTGAAGAAATTCTTCAGTCATACCTTTGATATGTTGATCTGCATAAACTTTATAAGATCTTTGCCAGTCAATAATTTCGCTAACAGTCATGGCAAATGAATCAGCAGTGTCAGAAGGAAATTGAATCTTTTCATCTAGTGACATCGATTCTGGACGTTTATCCAAGTGGAATGCTTTAACACCTTGAACAATATATTCTCCTAGGATATTTTGAAAGCCAAATGTGTTTTTGAGAAACTTTTCCATTTGTTCAGTTTGTGGACCACATCGACCGCTCATTGGTCCATTTTTATCCATAGGCTGCAATTGTTGGAGATGTTCGAACAGAGTGACTATTTCGGAATTTGTAGACTCCGTAATACCGAAGGAAGCAGATTCATAAGGCAGTGGTGATGATTGTTCCGCCATGTGAATAATTAATCGTTATATTATAAAATGTAGTAAGTAAAAATTCAACTAAAAAGCAAACAAGACAGAATTAGTTAATAAAAACATTACTTTTATGTGCTGTCGGAATTACCAACTAGGAAGAAAGAAAAAAAAGAACATTTTTCTTCCAATAGTGGCGCACATGTGATAAAATGTTTTTTTCTTTCTTCATTGCAATTCTTACGGCAAATTATTCGTCGAAAAGTCGTCATCTTATTGTTATGTTAGTTTTGTAACTCGCGATTTCAATGCAACTCTCTAATCTTCTACATAGTTTCACAGTAATCTCTTTCAGAAATTACAATTTTCTTTGATTTTCAGAATTACGAATAGTTAATTTTTGAACTAGACAATCCGTTGGAAGTAGATAGTCATTGATACTAATATATTAATAATACCATTAAAAAAAGTCGCAACTTTTCAGCGAAAGAATAGAACATCAAGAAGTTTTTTTACGAGCGAAAGGAATATTTTATTAACATAATAGAAAGTATAAGCTTTAAATCTCTTTATTTATCATTAAAATAAAACTATAACTACAGGAAATACATTTTACTCTTCGTTACTTCCACTTTTATACTATTTTTTATGTATCATGTTTATCTGACTTTTATTATTTTCTTCTGTTTTGGTAATTACTAAAACTATTATATTCTATTCAATAATAATTTTTCTTCGTGTAATGATAAATTATAAAGATAGTTTTAATGTATGATCGATAATAATAGATATGAATGTTGTATGTTTCTACTGTATTTTATATATCGCCTCATTTCTTTCTTATCTTTTTCTTTTTACAAAAAATGTTATAGAGAAGATAATAATCCTTTTATCTAGTAATCCGAACTTGAATATATTTTCCTAGAATTTACATGTCATCTTTTCTATTCTCTTAGAAATCTTAATAGTTGGTACTACTGTAAAAGTTTTACGTTATATTTATTCTGTTCTGATAGTAATCAAAATAACAGATGTTATTTTATAAATGAGTGTATTTTGAAGTAAACACAAAAATGAATATTATCGATGCGATTTAATTATAACTATTTAGTTTAAGATTTAAACCTAGAAATATTTTATAGAATTTTATTCAAATTCTTGTCTAATATAAAATAAGTTCGGTTAGTATATTGTACTAGAAATCCACTTAAAATTTTTCTTATTAAAAAATAAATATTTATTTATTTTTACTATAGGTAGAGATATATATTCTGTAAAAATCTTCCGAATAACAGAGATAGTTTGTATACTCTGTATATTATTTCTTCTAAAGTATTCATACTGAGTACGAATCTACTTTATGAAAAATAAAATGCTATCTATTGAGATAAGGTTCAAATTTATAGAAATAAACTATCTGTTAACTATTAAAAATCTGGATATTTTTCTATTTATTATTATTATTATTGAATAATAACATGAATATGAACAACGACTATATCATATAACTTTTGTTCAATTGTATGAATAAAAAGTCATCATCTTATTTATTGAAAGATACTTATTTTCACAGCTAAAAGGTTAATGACGATTTACTAAGGCTAAATGTATCCATGTGATAGAGATTTTTTCTTTGAAAGACACAGTTTTTTCTTTTATTTCTCACTGTTATTTAACGTCGCTTTGTTAACAAAATAAAGTAAGAGAAATGAGAACTCTTCGAACGTTTTCTTTTCTTTTCTTTTTGCGTTCTTATTGTTGATGGTAAGCGATTCGACGCTCCACAAAATAAGAACAACAAGTATTAAAGTCTGTGCACGTTGTAAAATGTTTTATTTTGCTTTGATAAACAATTACAGATAAAATCTTTTAGAAGAGGTTTTCATTAATGACATATCACCATCCTCAAAAAAAAACGGACTTGAACAATAGAAGCGCAAGTAGTAGTACGAATCTACTTTGCTCTGTATGTAACAGTGACCAGACACCAACTATATGCTCTGGATGTGACAAATTATTCTGTTTTAAACACAGCGATGAGCATCAAAAAGAGCTCCGCCAGCAAATGGACAAAATTATACAAGACTACGATAGTTCGAAACAGCAGCGCAATCAACAGACGATAAAAGAACAGTTGCTAGCCGATATCAATCAATGGGAAACTAAATCTATTGAACAGATTCGTCACAATGCTGAGAAAGCACGAAAGGATTTTGTCCAATTAGCAAAACAATCAAACACGTATTTATCAAACTTGTTGGTTCAGAGAGACACACAATTTAATTTCAGGGAGAAAAATATCAGGGTTACTGAAGAGACAGTTAAGTTATTGAAACAAAATTATGAAGATTTTCGACGAGAATTAAAAAAACTGTCAGGTATCAGACTTATCTCCGATACTGCTACTACGCCTTTTCATCTTATTAAAATCGAAAGTTCAGATAAAAACGAACATGACAGCGCAACTTCGCCTAGACAAAACGCAGTTACTGCCAAAGAAAAACAAAGTGAACTAGTTGCATCGAATAAAATGCTACAAGATGATAGTTCCGCAACACAAGGCTCAAAACCATCGTGCGAACCAAATTTATCTATCATACCTCAATCATCTAAATATCCGAGCATCACATTTGGTCTTACTGAATCTATAAGTAAAAATATAAAAAATTTATTTCACCAGCTTATGTTACTTAACCCAATGGATAAAGATGGACCGATGAGTGGTAAATGTGAATTAGAAACTGATCAAATGGAAAAGTTTCTCAAAAAAACATTTGGCTTCCATAATATCCCAGGGAAATATATTGCTCAAGGTGTTAAAGCATTCCAGTTGGATAAACGTCCTGAATCGATGTCACCAAATGAAAAGATTCATTTTCCTTTTAACACTACTGGTTCATTTGCCATGACTGTTCAGGAAATTATTGACTGGCAAAGGTCTTACAAAGTTTATGCAGCTAAACAGATCAATGGTATGACTAATGGATTTCTTCAAAAAGCTTTACAAGGTCAAAGTGATAATGGCGAAGAAGCTTTTCGTATGAAGTTTGTTGTTCGGATTTCAACATGTCCTATTTTAATGGAGTTTGATGCCAAAATTATACAACGTAGTATAGACGACGATTGGCCCAATCGGATTAAACTTGTTTCAGTCACTGGTATTGATTTTGCTGGGCGAAAACATGATGTTGGCGATATTATCGTTTATATATCAAATTGGAAAGAAGTTTTTGAAGTTGATCGAAATAAGAATGAGCCAGCTTTGCTTAATGAGAGAGATTTCGCTCTAAAGAGAGGTGGCCCTTCAGGCATATTAAACGAAGATCGTCTTTTACGTGATTTAACGTATATGGCTAGATTACGACTACGGGCATGTGATGAAGAAGGAGTACAAGTTGTCGTGGAGACAGGTATTGGACTTGGAGTTTTTTCTGGTAAACATATAGGAGTCGATACCATAGTACGAACAGCTTCTGCAGTTGCTATTCGAAGAGTACTCGAAGAGGATGGACCATCATATAAAAATATTCGTGCTGTCGTATTTGCTCTTCCTATATTCGATAAGAAAAGATCAGGACGTCGTACTGATGATACTTTTGATAGCTTTGCTCACGAATTCGAGGAACCACATTATACTGGTCGTATACCTGTATTAATTGCTGATCAAGATATGCATCGGTTAACTGTTGCTATTGCTCGTGCAGGTTTCACTGTTTCTGAACTAAATCCAGCTGATTCACATGGTGTTTTTGGTGAATACTGGCAAAATCGAGGACCAGCTGTCGAAGAAAAACTCGCTTTAACCACTGTTGGTCTCCTTGTTCAACATCATCTCATTAATCCACATGTGCAAAACACGAATAATTACTATATCATTTAATTTAATAAATAAAGACAATTTAGTATTTAGAGTGCTAACCATGAGATTGATCAACAGATCTATGAACAGTATGAAATTTCTGTTCGGGTGATGTTTTTTAATCAAAGCTGTATGCTAAACTATTTCTTTTAATATACTAAAAAAGATTATTATTCTTATGTGTTCATGCCATAAATAATTCAAAAATGATACATTCATCGAAAACACAAGTTGCTCTTTGTTTAGCTTGTAGTTCTATGGACTTTCGATACTTTTATAATTTTATTGATAGGATTAAATGCAGTTACACAGCTATGTAGTATTAATTGTTGGAAAATTGAAACGAAAAGAATATGGTATTAAGAGAAAAAAAGCATCAGGGACATTGAGCGTAATACAACTCGAACTTTTATTTTTCGATATGTTTATATATGCTGTAAATAATTCATTTTGCTATCGCAACAAAGGAATAAAACTTAAAGATTAATTTATAATTACAGACAATATATACTATAACGTAATGACTATCAATAATAGCGTGAAAGAAGTCATAATGTCAATCGGATAAATCTAATATTATATGTATATGTGATGAATATCATTTATTATTATTCTTGAAGTATGCATTTGATCATCGTCAACACTTTTATCGATTGAGAGTTAATCTTAGATGACAAAATAATCTTTTAAAACGAAAAATGGATTGATAAACAAAGCAACTTGAAGATCTTCAAAATCAGTTAAAGAATCTATCTACAATCGAATAGTATACGAACGACATTGCTAGAATATCATTGCAAAATACGTTATATTCTGTAGAAAGATATAGCAAAGTGATCACTTCTATAATGTCATCGAAAAACAAATGATTTTCTATTACTGTATATTTGAACAAATTCAATTCTAGAATTTCAAATAACTTTAGTTCAGATAAATACTTTTCATCATCAAACACTTTTCAACTACATCACTAAGATTTAACATCATTCTTTTTGTTGCTATGCAATATATTCAATTGATGTTATTTAAGTATTCACAATTTTTGAAAAGCATGTTTTAACTTATTTCGTTTCTGTTCTTCAAGAATTTTTCTCTTTATTATGCGTCATAGTGTTGTGCAATATCCACGTTTTTTCTTATCATATTGTTAACAACAACAACAACATAACTTGGTATATTCCAACTTTTTTCTTTTCTCTTCTACTAATATAAACGACCGGTCAAATAAAAAGAAACATATGACTAATTTCTATCGATTTACAAAGAAACCAGCAAGAATATTACAAAGCAAAAAGTGAAATTTGTTTTCTTTTCTATTTTCAATCATGGTAAACTATAATAGAATTCTTTATTTTTCCGAAATTATTAAATGATTTTATAGTTCAAAAAATTCGCTGACCTGTTGAACAAATCATCAGAATCGGTAGTTCCAAAACAATCCAGTCTCTATCCAAAAGAACGTCAAGGTACCTGTTCAATATGCAGTGACAATAATCTAACTCTAGTTACTCTTTCAAAAACATGTCGACATGAAGCCGCTTGTTGTATTCCATGTTTTACACAAAATATTTCCAGTAATATCAATTCTAAAGGTACTCATCGTTTTGAATGTCCTATGCCAACATGTAATGTAGTATTCGAACCTACAGAATATTATCATCTTCTTGATGCTCGTTTAAAAGACCTAGTAGATAAACTTTTATTAAATCGACTTCTTGAAACCGACGAAGAATTTCGATGGTGTAAATCGAAAAAAGGATGTGGTGCTGGACAACTTGTTTCAAATCATAAAGATTTACTTGGGTATAAAATATTTTAAAATTATTTTGTCTTATACTGATATAGAATCATTTCTTTATATATAGATACTATACATGCTATGCATGTTATCAACCATTATGTTTTCGACATTCGATTGAATGGCATACAGGTTATACCTGTGATGAATTTGATACAGAACGTACTCAAAATCCTGATTTAGCGTCAGATTTAACTGTTCTTGCTTTTACAAAACAATGTCCAAATCAAACATGTCGTACCCCAATTATGAAATTTGAAGGTTGTGATGTAATGACATGTTGTCGATATGGAACACATACATGTGTTCAAGCTAAAGATAAATGTGATCATGGTGGACAAAATTATTGTGGACAAAAATTTTGTTGGAAATGTTTGGGAAAAATTGATATCGATAAAAAAACAGGAGCATATATAAGAAGTTGTAATAAAAATTGTGAATATGCTTCGCTTAATAATAATTAATAAATACTAAAGATTGTTAATTTTTACATAATTCTTATTCAAGTCATATAGCTTACTCAAACAAATCAATTGAGTATAGAAATCGAATATGTTTATATTTATACGTCGCGCAACTAATATTTGACATTTGATAAATAAAATATGTTTTGTAATTTAATCTATCAATTGATTTTTGACATTTTCAGAGAATTAAGACAAAAATATCATGTTTTATATAGATGAATTTTGTGAGTAAATGTCAACTAGTGACATCTATGATTGTTTATATTTTATTGATTGTTTAATTATAAAAATCTATTCGGAATCTTTCGTAGTTAAATTTTACCCATTGAAAAGATTTTTATTCGAATAGAAATATTTTTGATTATAAAAAAACTACTTATAACCAATTAATAATTACACAATGATTCATAGCATCAAATTTTGATACTAAGATAAATAAATGATTGGTTATGTCGATTCCGGAACACTTTCTAAACTCATCTTCCTTTTGTTTTGTTTCATTAACAGATCAAAAATAATCAACAAGATATTCAAGTTATTAATCATATATTCTTATTTACTTAAATGAATATTTCTTAAAACATATTTTACATCTTTTACTATTGTTTAAGTATATTCAGATAAGAAAAAGTTCTTCGTAATAAAAGATCATTTAACCAATCTCTCTTGATAAAGTACTTGTATATAAGTTCCTTATTGTAAAAAATCATCATAATAATCTTTATTTAATGTATACATTCTTGTTTTAGATAGGTAAAAAATGAGCCTTGGCGGTGGCGATCCACAAGTTATATTACGACGCATCCGTCATGGTAAATTATTATTAATTGCTTGTTTTCTATATTTTATTGTATATTATCTTAAAGGTTTTATAATCTGTGATGACACAGAATTATGCGATAAAATTATTAGTCAAGATGTTGAAACTGAACAACGACGAAGAAATATAGCAAAAACGTTAGTTAGAAAAATGTATATAATTCTAAATTTTCATTTTATTATATAAATAGAAAATCAATTGATATTGAGAAAACTGATTTATTGACGTTATTACGAACAGATCCTGCTTTTATTCTTGATGAATTAAAACATTCACCTGAATGGACAGCAACCAATGTTCAAGGTATGTTTATGTAATCGTTTTCTCAGTTCTTCTTCCATATTAAATCAGAGATAATCACTCCCACTGTGTTTTTTTAATCAGTACAATCTATTTCGAAGATTATTCAAATGAATATTCTGACCATCGTAAGATTTATATTTATTTTTTTTTTTTGTTTTTTTTTAATCTAATTGATTATTCTAAGCTGCTCAAATTTCATTTAACAAACTACACATGCTTCGATATAAGAATTATTAAAAATTACCATCAAAAGTCGCTTACTAAAATCTTGCACACAAGCAAATGATATCACAAAAATTTATCAACAGATTGATAAATAAACATATAGATACATATTTTTATTTTATCTAAACTATTCCTATTGAGAAAAATAAGATATACCAAAGAAAATATTTATTCAAGTAATATATTGATCATGAATAGATAGAAGACAATACTTATTCCTATCAATCAGTTTCAGAAGGAGAACGTATGTTGACATTGAAATTGATAACTCTCAAAAGAAGGATCGATATTATATCGGATTAAAGATTTTAATTACATCAGACAATTCTCTTGTTGAATATGAGTGATATTAGTTGATTAGAATCTTTCTCAACATACTAATTATGGAAATATGCTTCATCAATTTCAATTAAAGACTTTGTTAGTTAGCGATTCTGACATTAGTTTTTTATCTGATTGATCATGACGATAAGAAAGGAGGAGCCATGCTTTATCTCTAACGTCAATATAAACTACTTACACATACTTAGCTGTTCATTTCGATATTAATAACATTAAAGTATTAACATAATCTTCTGGATACGGTAATTTAATACTTTTAACAGACTATTTGGTTTTCTCCTTAAGATATTGTTCATCTTCCTCAATCAAAATTAATATAAATTTCTTTTATTACTTATTTTTAATAATATTACTATTTGCACTCATTTTCTGAAGATTCACAAGTATTTCGATATTTCGTAATTAACCCTTTCGTCACAATAGTATAAAAAAAGCTACACTTGTTTTTAATTATTTTTTTTATAGTAAAATTCACAGAAATCGATGTGCGATTTCTTAAAAGCAAATTAAAGAGGGTATTCTATGAAAGGGTGTGAATGTAGGTTTCTCTTTTTCTTCGACCTTCACACCCACATCCTCAAAACTATTTTTGCTATTTCATAAAAACACTCAATAAGCTTTACAATTAATAAAAATTTTTGTTCAAGTATAATAAGGTTCAGTATTACTTATACTTCATATCCGATGAATCACCTTCTGCATATGTCCCTATTAGCCGTAAACTGCAATTTTCGAAAAGGCAAGATCGGACGCTTCTCAATCCGTCACCGGTCCCTATTTCTAAAAACAGCTAGGTTTGAAATATATTGAGTTTCAATGCAGAGGAAAAAAATTCTGTAACGAAAGGGTTAAAAATAGCGAAGAAAATCTATTGAAGTAGATCTTATTAAAGAACAGGAATCGGCATTCTACTTAAATTTCAAGAGTTTATTGATTGAGCACATAATGAAAAAATTTTCATTGATCAAAATAATTTGCATGTCGAACAATAAAAGCTTTCTTCTTAAGATATTTGTTTTTTAATTTATTCAGAAATATATAAAATATTTGCTAATCATATTTTTTCAGTTCGACGAGTTCGATGTGAAACATTAGGTCGATTGGATGAAATAAAAACTGAAAATGAAGCAAAACGTAAAGTTGAAGTTATTTCTTGGCAAGATCCACCTCAACCTCAAAGTAATTCCAGAAAAAAATATTTGATAATAAATAAATTATTTTTTAATTTGAATAGATTCAGATGAATCAAATCATTCCGAAAATGATGAAAATTCTTCTTCATCTTTATTTCAACGTCGTACAGAACCAATTCGACCTCTAGTACAACCATCACCTCTCACAGCTCTTCTTCAATCATCAACGCATAAACAAAATGCATTTGTACAATATGCCAAATTTGATGGAACAGTATGTTAATAACGTCAAAATAATTATTCAAAAAAATCTTATTTTGTATTATTTAGCCAAATATAAGTACAAATCAATCGAAAACATTTATTGTTCATTTGAAATCTCAAAAACTTCCAGTTATCGTTTTTTCTCATGCAAGTGTAGAAGAAACAATTGGTTTTATTTGTTATAAATATACAATAGAAAATCGAGAACCACTTTTAACGTATGAAATTTCTTTCAGAAGAAATTATTATTATTGATTTTTATTTTTGTAGACAAAAAGATCCGTCCAAATATTCGCTCTATATTGCTGATGATAATGGACTAGCTGAAGATGATTTTCCTCCATTAACACATACACGACCTATTGGTGAATATGCTTTTCCTCATTTAGCATTAATTGAACAAGTAACTCCAGTAAATCCTTCTTCAACTTTGATACCAACAAATAATAATGAAAATTTTTCTGATGATGAACTTGATGATGATAGTGAATCGTGTGATGATTCATCTCGATCAATAACACCACCACCAACAACAACAAATGAACCACGAAAATCTGTTAGTTCAAGTGGGAGAGCTTCAATACATATTGCTGCACAAGAAAGTTTAGTTGAATTAGACCCAATTATTCATTTAAATCGTTTATATGAAAGTCTCAATCAGAAAATTTATTCATTTGATTATTATATTAAATCGGGTAGTAGTAAACATTATAAAATTAAAATTGATGTATCCGGTGAACAAATACGTTTTGAATTATTAGAAAAAGCAAGTCGATTAACATGGCAAACTATGTCATTAACAACACAACGTTTAGTTGATTGTACTTTATTAAGTAAAGATTCAAATAAAAAAAAAGGTAAATGAATTTTGTTTTTTCGATATTAATTAAGATTTATTTATAAAATAGATCGTACACGTGTTCATTTTGTTGTTGAAAGTCAACAAGAATCGGATGGTTCACGAACATTTCAAACATATGAATTAGAATCAACATTAGAAACAGCTGAACAATTTCGTGATCAAATTCTTAATATAATTAAATTAAAAAATCCTCAAGGTCGTGATACATATGAAGATCAATTACAATTACGACGTGATAATACAAAGAAACGACGTTCTATTTTTAATTTACTCGGAGCTGGTCTTGGAAACAGTGGTGGATCAACTAAATCTTAGATTATGTATTTTTTTTTCCTTTTATTTTTTGTTTCTTTTTTGTCTCGAGTTTGTTTTTCTATATGTAACAGTAAATAGAAAGAAAACAGATTCAATTGATTTAGAAAATAATGTATACAATGATTTATCATGTTTGCAATGAAATACTAAAAATAGATCGAAAATGAAAACAACTATGATTTTATCATGATCGATTAATTACTCTCGAATCATTCGTGCGATGAATGCATTATGTCTAATACATGAAATTGTCACTATGCTGAACTAATCTATAGTTACGGTAGAAAAAGATTGGCCTACTGTCTCTTCGTCAATTGACGAAAGTTTAGGCGCGATCTGGCGCAAGTTTAGTGAATTTTTGCCAACTGTGATTACACAAGATTAGTATAAAATACATGTGACAAATTAACTTAATATTATCAGAATTAACTATGGATGCAACGGTGATGATCTGAACCGGTAAACGTTCCATCTTGAGAGTGTAGGTGTGGGTATTTATTTCATCTATCACTAACGTTCACCTCACACAGACTCCTACTCTCACACTCACGCCCTCAAGATGAAACGTTTACCGATTGAGACTGGTCATCAGTGAAACGGTTACCGGTTCAGACCGGTCACCGATGCCTAACCGTCACCGTTGCATCCCTAGAATTAACATATTATAGTTTAGATCCCTCAATATAGTTAATAGGAGCCAGGGATATGCCCGAGTTACCAAGTAGTGTGCACAGCTGCAAGAAAATTCCCCGTACTCACTACAGGTACTTTTTTCTCAAGGGGTGTACACGTGCACCCTTTGCACACACCCCCTCCCCTAGCTACGCCCCTGCCGAAGCTATTCTGACACATATGTAATCATATAATGACACTGGCGAAACCCAAAAGATTGAGCTTTTGAAATTATTTTCAATTAATGGAGAATGTTATACGTATTTTTTATCATCCTAGTTTAATTTAATCAATACAATAAGTTTCTATTTTTTTGTTTTATCATATAAAAATAATAATTTTCTAAAGTGAAACAAAAAATGCACGAGAATATAAATATATATAGTATTCTTTTCTAAACAATACTGTGAGAAAAGTTTATATGTAATTATTAACAAATGTTAGTGGTAGATGATTTTGACGAGAGAAAGAAGAGACCGAATATTATTTTTCTGTATTTAATGCTACAATGAATTCTTCTAGTTTTTCTTGAACTTGTCGAACACGTTCTAAAATAAATAATTATTAATATGAAAATTCAATTGAATAATATAGTCTTACTAAGTTCTTCCGCTAAATCAACACGTTTTCCTTTTAGAAGATTTGCTTTTAATGTTTCATCAGTATTAAAATCATCTAAAATTTCTTTTACTTCTCGTTCAAGTCGACGAGCTTAAAAAAAAACAAAAATATAATAAAATAAAAGAAAGTTAAACTAAATATTTACTTTCAATATTTGATATTTGTTGTCGAATAGCATTACTGGTTATTTCAATCATACGTTTTAAACGCCAAAAAAATACAACTTCATGACAATCAAGCTAAATTAAATTTTCAAATTAAACAATTTTTATTATTACTTATAATTATTATACTTACACCTTGATCGGACAAACCCTTTTGATAATAATAAAAAAATCGACGACAATCAAGACATGTGGATAAATTTCGTTTAAGAAAATGAATTTTATATACACGTTGCCATAGTTCACTTATCTATCAATAAAAAATATAGATAATAATAATCAAATGAAGCTTGTTTCTTTATATACAAAATCATTTGATACATCGACTTTTTGTGCTTGAAGATTTTTCTTTACAGTTGTCAATTCATCATAATCAAGAATCGAACGAAACTAAAAAGAGAGATAGAATTTTTATCAGACAAATGATGACATTGCTATCCAGATAAAACATACCGTATAATTATGTTTTGTCGTTTTATCTAACTGTTGTCTATTAAGTAAAAGTTTTTGTAATTCTTTAACACATTGTTGTCGATTTTTTTCTTCTATTGTTGATCCTTGAAAAGTAAATAATTTACTCCATGAACTTGGATTTATATTTGAATTCAATTCCGATTCTTGTTGTTCTAATTCTTTTCGTATAACATTTTCCATAAATTTTGCTGCTGTTTCCCATTGTTGTTTATCAGGTACATTACGATCTTGTAATGCTTGAGTTTGAATAACTCTCTAGAAAAATATATAATTAAATAAAATAAATAAATGATTTTTTTAATTATATATACAAGTGAATCAAGTGCTTTTGTATCCCATTGATGTCTTGTACGACATGCTTGAACAACTTGCATTTTTAAATCATTAGTAATTGGATCATATGAACGACTTTTTTGTTCACGTTCAATTAAACCTTGAAATTCATCAAGTAAAACATCATGACCAATATTAACACATTGACGTGGTAATTCTTTTTCAGCCCATTGTTGTAGTTTAACATCAACTGTTGTATTAAAACCACTAGGAAACAAAAGCAACAATTATATACATTGATAGATTTCGATTAGAATATTTACCCGACTGATTCAGCTTGTGCAGCTGTTAAAAATACATCATCAAAAATAAAATTAGACATTTGTGACCATAAATATTTCGTTAAATTATCTTCCCTAAAAAAAGTATTATTTTGTTTTGAAAGAAAAAACTCAAATTTTAATACCATTGTTGACTTGGTATTAAACTAAGATTCACAACTTCATCAAGAATTTCACCACGAGCTTTTTCAAATAATTCATCCTAATTATCAAAAGATAGAAAAACAAAAAATATAGATTTTATTCAACAAACTCGATCTTGTTCACGCATTTTTGTAAAACTATTTTTCCATTCAGTTTCTAAATTAAATCTTGATGCTTTAAATGTATCAGCTTGTTGTTCAACACTTTCTTTAACCATTTTCCAAAAACAATCACTAACAGCAAAACTTAAATTACGTGTTGTAGTCTGATTAGCTTTAAAAACGCCATCACTTTAACAGAAAAATTTCAATATAAGAACAAATAAAACAATTAGTTATTCTTACCCAAATAATTTTGAATTACGAAAAAAATCTTCTTCATACTTTTGTATTAAATCTATTGGATCATCCGCATTTCCTACAAAAAAATTATTTTATTATTCAGTATATAGATTTTTATAAATATTTAACCTTTGCCAGTAACAACAGCAAAATAGCCTAAAGCTTTCATTGGAAATAGTTTTCCATCAAGAATTTTTTGAATCTAAAAATAATGTATTTTGATACATATATCATTTATTATATTTGTACTAACTCGATCAGTATCATGTAAATTTGCTTCAGCCATATCAACTTTTGTTAAAACAAATATAGTTCTTTTACCATGTGGATCCATTTTAGATACAAGTTCTGTTACATTACTACGTTCAGCATCAACACTTCCATCTAAAAGCATGCATAGAATATTTTAATATAAATTACAGAATATTTACCTTGAATACAAAGAATAATCGCATTTGGATTTGACATATAATTATTAGCTAAACGAGTTATAGAATTTTTTGTATCCGATGCCATACCAATTGTTTCCGTCTAGAAATTAAAAAAAACACAAAAACTTATTTTACTTAGAAAAATATTTTATGAATAATTTACACTAATAATTCCAGGTAAATCAACTAATACCATACGTTGAAGACCTGGACCTTTGACTGATAATGAAATGACTTCACTACTAATTGTTTGTCCATCTTTAACTGAACCACGCATTCGAAGTTCAATTTCTTTTCGAAGTGAAGCTAACTAAATTACAAATGAATTTATTTTTCTTCTATATCTTTCAATAATTTTCTATATATACATCTGCTTCTTTTGTTAAATCATATTCTTTAGGACTATCTTTAAATGTTGCAATATGATAAGGACCTTCGCTTAATGTAACTTTCACCGGACTACGTGTCATCATTTCACCAGCACCTCTAATGAATAGAAAATGAAAAAAATATATATTTAAAACAAACAAAATTTAAGTAACAAACCGAGGAAATATTCGTGCTTGTGTTATCATTTCAAGTACACTTGTTTTACCTGAACTTTGATCACCAATTACAATAACCTAAAATAAGGATTTATTTTAGCGACAAAAAAATACATTTTCTTATCAAAAATCTTGTGAATCTTTATCAAACTTATTACAATAGTACTCTTGTTTTCTTCTAGTGAAGATAATATTGTTGTAAAATATCCCTGGCATATATATGCATTATTTTTAAAAAATAATAGTGTTTTTATTATAATTAAAATTCTAGATTATAAAATTTCGCATTAGAATTATCGTGAAAAGTCTAAATCATGTATGTCGATAAAAAATACTACATAAAAAACAAACACTCTCGCAAGTGTTCGGTACAAATATGGACCCACTATATTTGATACGGAATATTGGAAATGATGAAGAGAAATGATGTAATTATAAATATATATTTACTTCATTCTTATTTTGTAGAAATTTTTATAGGTTCAAATTGAAAATATACTCTTTTAAAGTTATTCATCAATTGTCGTGCGATATCTCGCAAAATCTCCTTCATGGACTGTTACCTTGACGTAGTGAAGAATCTTGTGTACCCCAAGGAGGTTACGAGCTATACCTTAGGGAGAGCATACTCCCAGTAGGATTCTGCTAAGGAAATCTGTATGAACAATTATAATGTCCATCTATATTGAACCTAATGGTACTGAATAAGGTTAATTTAAATGTTTCTAATACATAATTGAAATCTTTGTATTATTGGTATATAGAATGAATTTCGACTTCAAGTCATAAAGATAAGTTAAATCAATAAACCTCAATTTTTTCTCGTTTATTTTGATAATATATAAAAATATTTACTCGAGGTAGATGATCTTGAATATTATAATTTGTATCATAATCATTTAATTCATCTAAAACTTCACTATACATGTCAATAAGTGATCTCTATAAGAAAACAAAATAAAACTCATATAAAATTATTAAGTAAATATCAATT